TAGGAGAGCAAGGGAAATGGGATGCCATGAAGAATATTTTTGAGAATTTGAAAAGCAGGGGACATCAGAGTGGTGCAATTTATGCCGTTTTGGTCGATATATATGGGCATTATCGAAAATTCCAAAATGCTGAACATTACATAGGCACATTATGAAACTTGCAATTTCATCAAATTTAAATTGCACACTTGGAGTACGTACACTGGTTAAGAAGATAGAAATCAAGAGTTTCTTTTTACTTTATTACCTGATCACAATTAAGTTAGGTTGAGTTTGAGATATGACAACTCATCATAAATTGTAGTAAGTCAATCAACCTCTACGAGATAGGGTGATTTATCCTGGTTGCTAAAATGAGATTTTGGTATGACATACAATGTGATACATGGGGACAAGGTAACAAATTTGAACAACAGAATAATACTTGGCCAAAGTAGAGTTTTTACTATAAGAAAATCATCTACATAGATCAAAATATTTAAAAGGATGGCATTTGAAAGTCAAGAATATAGTTTAGATTTCTTCAATAATTCTCAAAGCTATTAGAAAAATTATCGTAGACATTTAGCTTTGATGAATTCTTGTAATTATGTTTCAATGAAAGAGGACTAATAAATTTACAATAATTTTTTTTTATTACAAATAGCATAATTTTTTTTTTTTTATCTTCAACAAAAAATACATTTAAAAATTAGCAATTTCATAATCATCATTTTTTTAAATTCTCGAAAATACAGTTATAAAAAAGAAAATAATTTTGAATTACAAAAATCAATATCTGCGAAATACGATATTTAAAGACAATATGTGCAAGTATGGTATGCTGTAAATACGGGATGATACTAATACGGTATATTGTAAATACGGTATAATGCAGATACAGTATACTGTATATATAGTAAACTGCAAATACGGTATGTGTAAATATGATATGTTGCATATACGGTATGTACAAACACCAATATCTACCAAATACAGTATCTAAAGACGATATATGCAAATACGGTATGCTGTAAATACAATGTGCTGCATATACGGTATGATGCAAATATGGTATGCTGTAAATACGGTATACTGCATATACAGTAAGCTGCAAATACGGTATGCGTAAATACGATATGTTGCATATACGGTATGTAAAGTGCATATACGGTATGAATGAATCCGATTTCGTCCACTACGATAAATTTCAATACCGTATATGCTGTCTACCTTATTTGCAGCTTACCGTATATACCGATTTTTGCATTTACAAATACCGATAATGCAGTACACCATACATTCACTTACCAAACCGAATGTCAGAAAAAAATTTAGATTTTTATTTTTTCAACATAAGCATAAAATAAATATTAAAATATATGAAGGACAAAATATAAAATGCATATAAATATGCAAGTTGATTTATAATTTTGTACTCAATTTTCAATTTTCCAATATTGAATTACACAAAATTAAGAAATATAATCTTCACATTCAACTCAATCATATCAACACTATCAAATAATACATGTAAAATAGTTTGTATAACCTTGTATATTTCTTATTCAAGTATGAAGTATACAAGCATATTTTTTCTAGATAACATAATACTATTACAATTGTAAAAATAATTTGCAATCATTTTCTTATATCATGGAAATATTTCTAGATATTACTTCAAAAGCTTTCAAAAAAACTAAAATTCAAACGCTAATAAAAATACGATAAATACAAAATTCGTGCAACGCACGTAACAGTTACTAGTATTATATATAAATAATATTAAAATGCTATTTATCACCCGAATATTGAAAATACAATTTTAATGCCTTTTTGTTTAATTTAGTACTGAAAATGTATGATTTTGCTTAATTTTCCCTTTTGGAAGAAAAAATATATAATTATTAACTTTTTAAATATACATGTTCAAATTTGTCAAACTTAAGAAATTCTTTAAAAAAAAAATAGGTGGTATTAATTAGATAGATAACTAAATATGTTAAGATCACAATAATCTACAATTTATGGTAAAAATTTATTTGCTTGTCACAATCATAGAACGCCATAGTCATAAATTACAAATTTTATAAATCACGACTTATTTTTCGATCATAAATTATCAAATTAATTGGTCATAACTTATTTTTCAATCACAATTTATCAAATTAATTAATCATAACTTTTTTTTGAATCACAAAATATCAAATTAATTTGTCACAATTACTAAACTAACCGGTTACATCCCCTATCCTAATCCACCATCATTGGTACCACCGGAAGCATCGCTGTCGACTTAGATCCACCATCACTTCTGATAAACCACCACCTGCGCCAACAATATCGCCACTTCACCATCACCGCCTCCACTGCAACCGCATCATCATCCATACATAGAGATCACCAAAACCACCTACAACAAACCACCACCCGTATTAATAATCCCTGCCACCATTACAACCACACCACCGCACACATATACAAATCGACGTCATTTCCATACACACCGATTTTCGCGCACATACACATATCAACCATGGACACTGCACACACACAGAGTTTGTCCATCGTCGCTGTAGGGAGACCGACCATTAAATTAGAAAGAGCTGAATAGAAGCCATTAGATAACAACAAGAAACAGTGATGCTTACCGCTGCTTATAACAATGACGATTGTGCGTGCGATTGCTTTGCCACGCAATGTAGTGGCCTCTATCGATAGTTGTGTAACATGCTTGTGAAATGAGTGGAATGAACAGTCGAAAGTGGAACTAATGTTTCTAGGATTTTTTTTTTTGGAAAATGAATTTGGGTTTAGGGTGTGTCGTGGAATTGGTTAAGTGGAGTGGGAGTGGGGGTGTCGTGGGGTGATACCCAAAGAATATCTTAGTCATTTGATTATTCAATAGAAAGTTAAAAGGCAGGATTTGTGATAATTTCTCATAAGAGTATTTTTAAGATATTTTTTATTTTAATTTTTCAAAATAAAGAATTTTGGAAACTGGCTGTCTATGTTTAATTTATAATGATGATATTTAATGAGTTACAAATTTCAATACTTTAATTATTACAAATTATTCAAATATTAATAAAATTGATCGATCATTAACATATAAAAAATTTAGTAAATAAACAATGAATGAAATCAATAAATATTTTTTGAAAAAAAAGAGGCAAAATAATGGGTCAAAATAAAAAGTAACATAGAGATCTCTTACATACATGACACTTCGAATCTGGAATAACCCAAATCATGACGCGTTGAGTGAGTAAAAGAGATAGACAAATCCTCATTTTTTTTTATCTGATATCGTCGTGATTTGAATGAACAGTCTTATTATGACAATTACTTACATGATCTTTCCACTAAAACATCATGAATCATGCTCTACGTCCCTCACTTTAAGTGATAGTAAGGACTCATTTTATTTAACAAGATTTTTGCTTTTTATAAAAGAGTTTATCGATAAAGTTATTGAACAATTATCTCTATGGAGTTCTTCCGTTCAAATAAAATACTTTCATAAACTTTACACAATACCAAAATCTTCTTTTCTTTTTTAGTTTTACTTCATGCACATTCATTTTGATAGTTTTGTTTACATTCACGGATGTGACACACAATTTTGCCATTAATTTGTCGAACACCTATTTAAATTATGATTGTACTACATGTACTTACTAGATTTACATAATGGTTTACATACATAATAAGGTATGATTAAATAAGAATTTCTTTAACCAAAAAAAAAAAAAAAACTTTCTTTTTTACTTCTCATTTATATGTAAATCATTATATAATCACTTATGCATAAGCAACATTATTCTTTAAGCCCACGTTTGGCCCCAATTATTTCACATTATAATTTTCTCTCTCTTATTTTTAACCACACAAATTTTTATAAAATAATATTACACGTATAACAAAAAAATTTCTTTATTTTTAACTACACATTCTCTAGAAAACACTATTTCAAAAATTATAATACCAAATACCGAGGCCAACAGGGCTAAATTAATGGTCGAATTGTGCTACAATCACATAACAATTTATATAATAATTCACCAACAAATGATATGATGAGATTTAATTGAATTAAATTTTTATTAATCAAATAACTTCTTCACTTACATTTTGCCATCTTATCGATATGTAAAACATCATGTACCAAAAGCACCTTCCGTAATGGCCTCGATTTTGATACCTAAGGGGATGCAACTAGTTTAAGAATTTATCTGGTTGCGTAGAAACAGTTTTGCCAGAATTTCACAGTTTGGTATGGGCTTTTTTTGCTTTTTTTTTTTTTTTTTTTATTCCTGCCATTGTCTAACCAAAAAAAATCTACCAAGTGTCTTTCGACAAATTTTTTCTGTACACGTAGCAAGCTTGTTAGTTTAATTCTTTTCTTTTTCTTTTTTGCTTGGACAATTGCTATTTTTGTTTGGGCTTTTTTTTCTTTTTTTTTTTTTTTTTAATTCCTGCCATTGTCTAACCAAAAAAAATCTACCAAGTGTCTTTCGACAAATTTTTTCTGTACACGTAGCAAGCTTGTTAGTTTAATTCTTTTCTTTTTCTTTTTTGCTTGGACTTCTGGATAGGTCTTCAATAACTTGATCGAATAAAGTCAGTCAGATATACTAAAAACCAGGGATTCAGAGATGGATGGATCTGTCAAAAAATGGTTTGCTTTTTTTTTTTTTCAAAGTGTCTAATCATACTTTGACACGTGATTACCCTATTTTGGAAAATGATTGACAGCCCCCTAATAGAACATGGCATTTTCTCCCTATTTTTTACCTGAACAATGTTATAAGTACAGATTTTTTCTACAAATTTTGTACAAGAAGACAATTGTCTTCTTATGATTTGCTTTTTGTCAAAGACTATTTTTAATAATAGCAAATTATAGGAAGATAACTGTGTTCTTGTGCTACTTCTGTTTTAAAAAATTTATACTTGGAGAGTTTTCCTTTTTACATTGTTCCTCTAGCATTATTGCGTCCAATCATTTTCCAACACGTCTTTTTTACATTTTTTTTACCTGCCTTTGAGCCTGTTCCTCTTGTAGCATTTAATGATCTTGAACAAGGACAGTTGTCTCATCAGTTTCGACTCCACTCTGCAATTGCTTCACTCCAACAGCAGCATAATTCGCAAAGCAATCTGCATACAAATATTTTGAATAAAATCATCTTTATGAGATTTCCATTTAAGCATTCAATTTCTTTGGTTTTTAAATTTTCAACTCAAAAAATTGACCGATCATTTCCCCCTCCCCTCTCCATTTCTTTAAATTTCCGATGCCAAATCACGTCCTTAGGACACCCATGGATTTCTCTCTTGGCAGGTAAAAGTTTCAAACCTTTAAATTTTTTAAATTAATCACTCATTTAATTAGGGTTTATACTCCATTACTGTTATTTGATGAATTATAAAGGTATTTATAAATCGGACTTATTCTTAAATGAATTTTGGGTTTTATTAGGGTACGAAATTTTTCTTGGATTTTTTTTGGTTGAAATAAAACAGCTTATGAGCATCGTTTACCTTTAAGTTTTTAATTAAAATTTTGAGAGCAATCGAAAGTTCGGGATTTTTACGTATTTTTGGAAACTTGTAACTAAAATAGGAAAATAATTGAATGAATGAGTTTGACGAAAATTTGGGTTTGCTAAGTAATTTATTGTAGCTGAATAATGTATATGTTACTAGGATTAAAATAGTTGTACATGGTGTACATTAAGTTTGACACTCCGAGCGTTGTCAAAAATATGTGCCATTAATTGTTTTAAGTAATGTGAAGAATATGTAAAAAAATTCTACCTCACAAGAATGTCAAACTTAATGTAAAACTTAATGTACATGTAGCATGATTGATGTTACTATTAGGGTGGTAAAGAAGGACAATCGAGATTGCAGTATTCTTTTAGGTCGAGGATATGAACTTAGGCTTGCATGGCCCTGTTTATGCATTTTGTGAGTACGTTCAGCAGTGTGTTGTGCAGGCATACAATTGCAGAATTTAGGTTTAGCTTTGCAGCTTCTGTCTTTTGATCTTGGTTCACACATCCTGTATGTATCTAGCCACGGAAGTTCTAAACTTTTTTGATAGGTATATGATTTGTGCTTTGGCAATGTTTTATATTTATTCTTAAGAATAGTTACAGTGGCCTAGAAGAAGTGAGCTTGCTGCAAGTTTTATGTATTTACATCTGATGGCTCTTTATCATAAGCAATTAGGACCTGGTTGTCATTGCTTCTGGGAGTTGTAAATTAGCAATCATTGTGGGTAGTATTTCTGCATGTTTGTGTAAATAGAAAATCTAATCATTATTGATCATGCAGTGGAAAATGAGTGGAACATCCATAGGTCATTCTCATCGTGAACCATGTCTGAGATGAAAACCTTGCAAAGGTGCAGGAACGTTAATGAAGCTGACAATTTTGTTCTGATTGATGTTGATTGTGAGCATTTTGATAGTGTTATTATAATTGATGTTCCTGAGCCTTTGCCAAAGAAATGGCAAGGTTCTAGCATGGTCAGGAAAAAGGAAAAATGGCCATCTAGGACTGTAATATGCATTGATGATGATGAAAGCACTGACAATGACCATTCTGGTCTTGGTGTAAATGAGAATGGAAGCTTCTCTAATGGCACTTCTGCTAGCAAGGTATCTTCCCCTGCCTTAAAAAACTTCAGAAGTTCTGCAGTCGCTGCTAGCAAAGGATGCCAGTTTGACCAAGAAAATGTGATTCCAGTGAGGTTATCAAAATGTAAGTGTACCTATTCTGGAAAAGCTTCCACAAGCAACCGCTATGGCTTGAGTACAGATTCAGAAAGTGAATTGTCTGATAATGAGCATTCAGATAGTGAGTTAATGGAAGATTCTTCTGGAAACCTTCAACAGCAATGGGAAGAAGCTTTCCTTAGGAGAATGAAGGATATTCACAATGGTCAATCTGGTATTAGAGATCACGACAGTGCTTCAAGTGTTTTGAATGTTGATCACCCCCTAAATGTTAGAACAGAAAGCAATAATGGGCAGCATGAGAAACCCCCATTTTGTTCTAGTACTGGCAAACCAAGCCATGGAAATGAAGCTCCATCTCCTTTTATTACAGAAGAGGATACCCACTTTGATAGCTCTTCTTTTGGCTATACTAAGTCTGATGGTCACAAGAGATCACATTCTGACGCCAAAGATCCCAACTATGCTGGGCAGAAAGATGGCCAACATTATGAGCCAATGAATCCCAGCTGTCAGAATGAGGAGAGTTTGAACCCTCCAGTATCATCTTATTTTCCTTACCATGGACAGGGAACTGAGCTAGTTGATCGTCCTAAAATGGCTTTCCAAGATGATGAGGGAACTCCAATGAACTCTTTTCATGGGAAACCTAGTTCAGTAGAGGAAGAGGCTTCTATGTGCAAGCATCAAAATTCATATGAAATTGATGGTGACAATGTCAGATCTTCTCTAAAAGACAGAGAGAAGAAGCTTCAGGAGACATTTACTGGTAATATTAAGGAAAAGGAGCATCTGGAACCTTGTGAACCACGTGCAACTAGCAATGTTAACAAAGATAATTTAATATCTAATACATATGTGAATTTTCCGTCATCTAGTGAGCATGTTAACGTTGGCGTTAGTCCTGGTGACAGAGTTGGACCTGTCCCAGGAAAAGTCGCTTTCTGTAAAATTTCATCACTGGGCTCGGAAGATGGCATTGATAACTGTTGTCATCAGGAAAGCAGGAAAGCAGTTTCTGAGACACCATCTTTCTGCAATGTGCTTGAGGAGAATTCTTCTGTGGAGGCAGTGGAAACTCTCGTTGAGTCTGTGTCAATAAGTATGCACAAGGATGAAGATGATCAAAAACATATTCAGAATGGAGGTACTGAACTTGGTGTTGAGAATTGTATCATTAATGAACGTGAAAAGCTCAAGGAAACAGATGAATACAAAAGAGCACTAGAGGTCGAGTGGGCTTCTCGACAACAAGCATTAAAAATTCAGGTCTATTTGATCACTGTCATTTTCTCTACATATACTACTATTTTATTGTCATTGAACTGTTATCCTTAATTTGTTGCATAGATTATCAAGAAACTGGGGTGATGCGGACATCACTTATATTATTATCGCACTATTTTACTTTTTCTAGTTATGGGGTTTGTATTATTGGTTTGGCCCAAGCCCATCATTGGTAGGGTTATGCTTTTACTATTTATATGGTTTTCAGTTGTAACTTCAGTAGACGATGATGAATTAGAATTGAAATATTGTTTAGCTTGCAGCCGTTTTCTCCCTCCCCTCTCTCTTCCCCTAGTTTCTTCTCCTCTTCTCCCTCCCCTCGATTTCTCTCCCTCTTCCCTTCTTCTTTGTTGTTTTTTGCCTTATCTGCTCTTTTTCTGGTTCTGCAATGTTTTTGCAGTTTAATTACTCTGCAGGAATCCCTTTTTCATCCTGCATCAAAGTGGTATCAGAGCTTAACCTGGTTTCCATCTCTTTAACTGAAAATTGGAGTCAAAGTTGCTATGGAAGTGATGCAAAGCCATCTCTTCAAAACCATAAATCCCTTCCCAGTAGTTGATCCATCCACACTCGCAAAACCACCGCACCAAAACTGCCTGCATTCAACAGTTTGATAACACCCTTATTACCATTATCATTCACGACCAATCGACATCAGAAACAACCATCGTCAACTCTCAACGCCACTGCTGCAATTCTTGCCATCATAACACAGCCACCACAACTTCCCAACATCTTCACCACGTCCAAAAAAAACCAGCAACTTCTAGCTTCCACAAAACCGACACCCCACGTAGCCCCAAAACACAGTAAATTCCGGCCCAAAACAACCGCTTAACCCAAAGAAAGTCATACCACCTAGCAACCGGCCCAAATCTAAACCTCCACCTCACCGTCACCTGCACCTGCGAACCCCACTCCACCAAGCTGCATCCCTCTACGACTTCCTCTCCCTGCCATTAGCTACCTTCTACAATCAGTGTCACCGCAAATTTCCACCAAATCATCCAACTTCGTTGCTGTTCTTCAATTCCAATTGTCACCTCCTCCACCCCGATCCAAACCGCAAATCGACCCATCGCCCTCTTCAATTTCAAACCGCTGCGACACCAACCAGTACAACAACCAACCACCACTGCTTCCTATACCTCTGCCGGCAATTCTACAGACAATTTAGCAAATATTGGGGGCCGTTTCCCTGTGAAAGTGGCCGGGAGTCATTTCCAAGCCTATTGTAATTGTAGATTTTGTTTGGGCTTTAGTCAATAATCTTTGCTTTTATTTTTATTTTGGGCCTCAGTTAGTTCTTTATTGTTTCATCTATGTAAAGGCCTATTTTGATTTGTGCTACTATTTAAAAAAAAAAAAAAATAAGAAAAGAGAACGTAAAAAAAAAAAAAAAAAAGGAAAAAAAAAAAAAAAGAAAGTAAAAAAAAAAAAAAAAAAAGGAAGTGAAAAAAAAAGAAAAGTGAAAAGAAATCGTATTTTCTATTATTTGCAGGTACCTTTTTTTATTCCTGTTGATTTGACACATCTACTTCAACGGACGAAAGGGAAGTTACTGTTTTTATTTATCTTTGGTTTATATTACTGTTTTGTTTTAAAATTGCATCAATATTTTTGTGTTGCTATTGATCTAGTTTTTACCTAAACTTACGTAATTGGATCCATTAACCTCGTTAAATCTCGCTTTTACCTTGTTTATTTTACGTGATTAGGGTTTGACTAGCATTTGACCTTTGCTTTGCTATTTTACATATACCAGCAGTATTAGCTTGTTATATTTGGATTTTAATCCCAACATTTATTTAAAAAAAAAGAAAAAAAAATAGAAATAGCTCAAATTTTCATTTTCCATTACTTGCACTTTTTGTTCGTTGATCTCTCTATTGCATGTCATTAAGTTGCGATTACAGTGCATGTAGTTACATATTGGTCATCTTGTCACTTCTAGCTCCAGTACCTTAAACATGGACTCCTCACAATTCGATGCACTCACCCGACAAATAGCGGCTATTCAAACTCAAATGACCGCTATTCTTGAAGAGAGTAAGGCCCTATCTGTTAGTTTGAAAAATTTTAAACACATCCCTCATTCAATTGATGTTGATAATTCTAAGGTGTCCCATAATAGACAACATCGTCGACAAGGTAATCAAAAATACTTTCGACCCGATCGTAAGGATAGGGATAGGAATAGGGATCAGATTCGTGAGCGAAAACGAGATAATTTTGAAATTCTTACTCAATGGAATGCCCTTAAACAAGGAAATCAATTAGTGATTGATTATATCGCGCAATTTGAAGAATTTCGAACCAAATGTCATTTAATTGAGGATGAAAGCACGACTTTGAATAGGTTTAGCCAAGGTATGAGAGATGATCTTAAGCGCGAGCTTTTCCTTCGAGGTGTCACTACTCTTGATCACGCTTACTATTTAGCTCGAGATTATGAGTTGATTATTAGTACTCCATATGAAAAACGTGGTCATCGTCTTTAACCCATTTCATTAGCGTCGCCTCATCATAAGTCTATTATAAAATCTTCTCCGTCTAATGTTCCTCTTATTTGGAAAAATAATTGTAAAGGTCGTGATAGTCCAAGATCTTCTTCTTCATGTAGAAAGCATATTGACAATTATCCTTTGGTGTCATTGGCTCCACTTCCTCCCGTTAAATCCCTTCTGGGACCTCCCTCGTCTGATGTTCATCCAATGAAAAATAAGGGTAAAATTTTTGATAATCATCATTTGGCTTCATTGGCTTCACCTCCTCCCGTTAAGTCCCTTCTAGGACCTCCCCCTTCTAATAGTTCTCCAATCTTGAAAAATCAGGGTAGAATTTCTGAAACTCCAAGGTCTTTTTCTCATTTGTTGTGCGTCAATTGTAAAGACTTTGGTCACATTTCTTCTAAATGTCCTAATCGAACCTTAGTCATGGAAGAACGAAAGAATGTAATAGAGGAGCCGTTAGAAGATCTAGTCTATGAACTAAACTTGAAGATTTTGATGACTTGGATGATAGTGAGGACACTTCCTTAGGTGGAATCCAGACTCTTCCCGAGACTTTGGATACTATACCCTTTATCTCCGACAATTCTCGATCACATGTTATATGTCATACCCTTACCCAAGTTAAAGAGCTTGATGATGTCACCAGTCACCCTTGAAAAATCCAGTCGCCTGTGGTTAACACTAAGGCAAAGTTATCCACCACTTACCAACCTCAAATTGATGGTCAAAACAAAAGTGCTAACCAAAATCTTGACAATTTATTACAGTCTCTAGTCCAGAAAAATCTTGGGAATTGGGACTTGATCCCTCCAATTGTTCAAATTGCATATAACGATCCTGTGAACTGGTCTTTAGGTCTAAAATCCTTTGAAGTTATTTTTGGTTGTGAACCTTTGAAACCTCTAGACCTTATTCCCATGCACCCAAATGCTTGTGTGTCTATGTCAGATGAGGTAGTTGTATCATATTTTCATAGCTTGCATATTGAGATCAATAAACAATTTGAAGCAAGTAAAACATTATATAAACCTCAAGTTGATTGGCATAAACAACATTTTGAATTTAATATTGGGGATTATGTTATATTGTAAGCGTGTAATGCTGGTCTTTTTAAAATTTCAAAGCATGTTGGTCAAAATGCGTATGTCAATGATCTTTTATCATATTATGACCATCACCTTATTTTATTTGTTAAGGACTTCGATACTTACAATGGCTATTTTAACACTTTTGTTGATCCTTTTCTATCTCTACCTGAGAACTCCCACACCGAATCTTTTGCTATGTCTATTCGAATACCACCTGTCGCAGCACACAAAGATAAAATTGATGTAATTTTAGATGAACAGGTTGTGTTAACCATTGATGGAGAGAATCGGTGTTTCTTTAATTGTTGGGTAGATCAACGTTCTTATTGTGCTCCACATTATGCGCAATCATGTGAAGATTTTGGAGATGAGTTGCAAGAGTACTTGTAATTTGGAGTCCAATGTCGGTACTTGATTAAAATGAGGGATCGTCCGCCTTGGTCGGATCATATTCTTGAGGACAAGTTGCCATTTACATTGTTATCAACTGTGGAGTTCAGATATTTGGTTCTTCAAAAAGATCGTCTACCGTGCTATGAGTTCAGACATTGAAGATTGACGGTAGCTCTTTGTCATTTGTTCACTCGACAGAGTCGAGTTTTTCTTCCACCCCGGGAGAATTGATGCGGATATCACTTATATTATTATCGCACTATTTTACTTTTTCTAGTTATGGGGCTTGTATTATTGGTTTGGCCCAAGCCCATCACTAGTAGGGTTATGCTTTTACTATTTATATGGTTTTCAGTTATAATTTCAGTAGACGATGATGAATTAGAATTGAAATATTGTTTGGCTTGCAGCTGTTTTCTCCCTCCCCTTCTCTCTTTCCCTGGTTTCTTCTCCTCTTCTCCCTCCCCTCGGTTTCTCTCCCTCTTCCCTTCTTCTTTGTTGTTTTCTGCCTTCTCTGCTCTTCTTCTGGTTCTGCAATTTTTCTGCTGTTTAATTACTCTGCAGGAATCCCCTTTTCATCCTGCATCATGAGGGAATTCCTACAGCAAGTTTAAGAACTTCAAGTTGCAAAATTTCAATTTCAGCAGTTCAATGTCTGTCTGCCTGTCCTTTCTTTGAATCTTTTCATCGTGGCTAAGCATATTGCTTTGCACCTTGGTCAGGCTTTGGTATTGTCTGGGTCCACTGTACTGGACTCATTTCCACTAATGGTTGCTAGCCAAGTCTGTGGAGTTGGCCTGTCAAACCATTTTGTAAATAGGTAGCATGCTGATCAGATTTGGGAAAGGAAAGTGAATAAAACAGAGTAAATAAGAGAAAATTTTCTGTTGCTTGTGTATTGTACTTTTGGCCATAGTTTTCTTCTGGTAATTATCATCTATATGATCAAAGTTGTTTGATAATCTGTTAGCATCAAGCCATTTCAGAACATCACGTTGCATTTGAGCATGCATGCAATGGCTTTTGCTGCCTACTCCTTTTCAATTTATGTTTTTTTTTTTCATTGAACGGATATTATGGGTTATTGTCAATAATGAATGTCTTGAATAAAGAAATATGTTGCATATAATGGGCTTGCTTGGTTTCATGTAGGCTGAAGAAGCACAACGCTTGCGGCAGTCGCAGAAGAGAAAAAAATCTGAAAGCATGCGCTTACAGGACATGGCGAAAAGACAAAAGCAGCGTGTGAAGGAAATAAGAGAGACTCAAAAGAAGGTTTTTGAAATTCTTCTCTCTTTCCCCAATAGTTACAGTCCATTTGCTTGCTAATTTATGAAGACATATTAACTAGTTATTTTTTGCTTTTAATTGGCCTTGAGCTTACATAACAATGTAGATTCTTCATTAATATACCTTTTAGGATGTGGAAAATCTCAACATGAAGGAGGTAATGCGCTCCCAGGTTAGGAAGGAGCTCAAGAAACTGGAAATGACATGCGGCAATATGGCTTCGCTGCTGCATTCCCTGGGAATCCAAGTGGGTAGTTGGCCTTGTCCATCAACAAATGAGGTTGGTGAGACTTGCGTTGTAAAGTTCTTATACCTTTTGAGTTACACTTCTTAAATCTATATCGACCATTGTCACTATAGTGTGACTAGTGGTCTCTGATTCTGCTTTGTTTTGTGGATTACCTTCTAGAGCTCTAGTTCCTATTATGCGTATAACTGTTAAATTATGATGAATAAATGAAAATATTATCTTTAAATGTTTTGGCAATTTCATTTTTCGCTGTGGTTTTATCCACGAAGGATATCTAAACCAACTATCTAAACATTCCCTTGAATATGTGGGCTATCTTTAAAGTGTGCCATAAAATTCTAAAAATTTATTTCTAATCAATAATGCTATTAAGAAGTTCATTTGTATGTCTTCTTGCTTGCATTGCAACACCTGAAAGTCCAAAAATTGTAGGTTTTTCTATTAATTTCTTGAGTATTATCTCTCTCTCTGTATGTGTTACTCTGTGTTGGGTATTTTCCTCCTTTGCTTGCGTGGGGACCTTGTACTGTCATTTTCTTACTATGACAGAACCCTAATTTGATTCCCTTCGTTTTTCGCTTCCTTTAACTTGTGTCATCTGGGGTTATGCCACAAAGGCATTAGTTACTGTAAGATCAGATTGCCCACAAAACATGTTTGTTAGTTTATTGTGCTAGTCATTTTGTAACCATGTGTAGAATCTTTTTACGATTTTTTGGTGTAATTTTTGTGACCCCGTGTAGAATCTGTTGATTTGGTATGAATCTTTTCATATTGTGCATGGGTTTAATGTCACCCTTTCTTTGATTAGTGCTTGTTTGAGATTACTTTGAAGTTCTTCATAAGTTGTGAGTCCTATAGATTGTATAAATAATAAGTGGGTAGTAAATTGTGGGTCCTACAAAATTTGAGGATAAAAAGTACGCTTGACCAGCTTAAACATAAAAAAGGTCAGGCTTTGCCAAACATGCTATTAGAGTTCAGTGGTCATATTCGTGGATGTTGATGATTCCAACTATTACTGATTAGACCTAAGTCTAGAATGTCAACCATTGGGCATTCCTTCAAATGTTCATGTCAAGAACAATGTTTTTATCATTCTTGTTTTAGCAATCTATTTCTGCCTGTAAGCTCCTGAGGTTGATATACTCGTATACATTAGCTGATGTTGAGTCGTAGTTATTCTTTGCTATGTTGCATTACTTATTCAGAGAATGGGTTACTTCTAATAAGTACATTACTTATTTTAATCTCCGACCAGCAAAAAGAATGAATTACTTTACAACAAGCATACTTCTAAATACATTCTTAAGCTTGGTCCCTTTTCTCTTAATTAAATTTGGATTTGTCAAAACCATAGAATAGAATAGAATTAGCAAATAGCCACTAACACGACTCATTTGGAATCACCCTTCTAGATCCAAAACGTGGTGTGCATTGATGATGAATACCAGCTGGATGCTAGATCCACCATCAAAGCTAACTTGGACTTTCCTTTGACTGTAATTTCTTTGACAAAGAATTTAGAATTTTTTTGACAAGAGTTCCTTGTAATTTGGACTTAACTAACCCCTCAAATTGACAAAAATCCTCATACAACCACATGGAATACATTGGGAACCACTGTTCATCCAAAAATGTACCAACTAGAGTGATATATCTACAACGGGATAATAACTCCCGTCACAATAACAGACGCCAAAACTTATAAATTTAAAATGCTGCAATAAACCTTTCTGTTTGTTTATATACACGTGACATAAAATTACTTGACCAACATAATATGCATTTGCCTCAAATATAATGACCACATCGTCTAACAAAATGAGTCATACAAACTGTCTGTTGTCGTGTTGCTCAACTCGGCAATCAACAGGCTCTTCCTAAAGCTGCTAAAGCTCATCTAAAAATAGAAACGAACTCCAGTACATGCAATCAAATTGTTTGAAGTAGTTTGTTTCATAATAATGTCCTCTTGCTGCTTATTAATGTCCATATGTAGTATGGTCTTGATATGCTTGTCATAAATAACTGCTCATCATAATCTATTGGGATTGATTATTACATCTGATGAAATTTCAGGTACAATCTGCTTACAAACGAGCATTGCTGACGTTTCACCCAGATCGAGCTCCGAAAACTGACATACGTCAGCAGGTTGAAGCTGAGGAGAAATTTAAGCTTATTAATCGTTTGAAGGAGGAACTTCTACCATTTTCTTGATGCTTGAGCAAGTTGAACATTATTGCATCATGAACTATATATTCTTCACTAGCCGAGAATTATCATGAACATGCTTTCCATGCTTGCAATATTTCCAGAAAGAAGCCATAAGTTATCAATCATGCTTTCATGGGGTTGGAAAGCATTCTTTTGTTTGTAAAATAATTGATATTTCCTCCTAGCTTATAAGTGATTTCTCTATGATGGGTTTTGTGTTGTTATTGCACTCTGGTGCTTGAGAGTTGTTGAGCATATGATGTCTGTTGGTTGAAGAAATGGGTTATTTCAGTTGGTAGTATACAAGGCTTATGTGTATTAAGTTTTTATTTTTTATGACATTTATGTAAGTATTTTTCATCAAAGCAGAGACTAATTAATTAGTCTATGTATTGGTATTTAATCAATGTAGAATTTATTTCTTGACATGTCTCCCTCCTTTACATAATTTTTTCTATCAATAGAATGGGGGTGGGGTCAATACCAAGCTTCAATCTAAGGGTTTCCTGTTTACCGATCATACAAAAAAATTATGGGAATTCGATTTGTTCAATGTGTAGACCAACGTGTTGATCCATAATTGTTATGATTTTATCAGTTGTTAAGAAATGTTGATGTTAAGAACGACTTTCTTTTATGACTATTGTTACTGTTAAACGTCCTATGTATAGGCTGGACATAACTCGACAATATTAAAGAAGTTATATTCTAAATTCAATGCAGGTGCTGAAAGGGACAAACTTTCCGCTGCAGTTCTGATATCAACTCGTGCAAGAGTTGATTCTATGAAAATGAAATATACAATTTAATTCAATTACTTCTAAGAAAATAAATTGTAGTAAAATTAGTACCATAAACATGAAGAAGAATTAATTATGTATAAGCAAATATATCTTACTTTTCTGGATCGAATATTCGTAAGAGCAATTTCAAGTTGTTGCTCCAAATTATGAAGATCTCTCAGGCTTATGGAGTTCAGATCTTCTCCCATATAATACCTTAAAAGGGAAAGTAAACAATAAAGTAAGAAAACCTGAAAAAATTAAAAACATAGATCCCTAAATTTCATCATCTCCTGAAGAATGACAAGTGTTTTACCTTTGATGCCTCTGCAATAACTCAGTTCTAACCTTGAGTTTGCGATATTCTAGTGTCTAGTTTGCCGGTTTACATTTTAACTTTTTAACCTATTTGGCATCAGGTATAAGCCCCAACTCGAAACTATAATATACAAGATTTTAACCCTTTTTAAAAAAAAAATTTTTAATTTTTTTTTAAAATTTTTGGATGGTGTAAAGTATTGCGTCCATCCTGCCGACCTGCCAACAAGCCATTAGTACACTATCCAATAAGGAAATAAATCCTACATTTTGTAAATAAACCGAAGATTAATAATAGTCCGTCAAGATAGTAAGGCCAGAAGCCAGTACCACGGACAACTTTCTTGTTAAAATTAATTATTTTTCAAAAACTCAAGACTTACAAGTGACTCAGGATCGTTTGAAACTAATGGCTCTCTGTAAATGAATGTATTTCATTTTTTGAATCACCTCGTATAAAAGCTTAACTTGTTTGGACATGGATACATTTAGATATAATCCACAATATATAAACATATGGCTTCTTATACATAGACGATTAAGTGGCCAAGCAAATTAGTTTAACTCGAAAATCCCCCTCTAAATTATGCTGCTTCTTCCAACCGTGCGCGTGTGTATTATGTAAGAGAGATAACGTGAGAGAGGCGATGGCTTCCTAGGAGTTTGAGAGCTTGGTGATTTTTGGTGTCTTCCTTGATTTTCTCCTTCCTTCTTGGATTGCATATACCACCACCATAGTCTTCTTTGTGGAGTGAAACTTGGATCAACCAAAGTGGAGGTTTGGTTTTGAGTTGAGCCAAGGTTGGGTGGTGTTCATTTTGTTATTTTCTGAGCTCTGAATCAAGATTTCTTGAGGGATTTTCACAACAAATGGTATTAGAGATTGTGTAGTTGGGAAATATATGATTTTTGGGTGCCAAAACTGACTGGAAATTGGCCAGAAAAGGGTCTGAAAAAGGGCAGAAAATAGGAAGAAATTTGTACGGTTTTGAAAATTTTCTAGCCTGAACTATTTTGCATTTTTCGATGAAACCGCTCATCATTTGGAGAAACAACGACAACCGATAGACCGTGCATTCAAAGGTGGCCAATGGTATTCGGCGCGTGGGAAAGTCGGCAACGCGTTTCCTGAGGTAATTGGGGCTCTGACTACCGTGCGTAGAGGCACGTGGAGGAGCATCTGCCGGTGACTTCTTCAGGTAGTTTTAGGCGACGAGGTGAACCCTATGGTATTGTCAGATTTGAGTTTCGAGCAATAGTGTGAAGTTGGACGATTTTGTCCTTGGACGTTCAAGTGTCATTTTGTGTTGTCGTTGTTGCTAGAAGCTTTGAGGCGGATAATAGTAGTCCTAAAATAGTGAATTCACATCTCTCGATATTTACGGACCTTCAGACGTGGTTCGTTTGGTATCGTGTTCTTTACCTTTTATTATTGCAGTTAAAATTATCGTGTTGGGTAATAATTTACTTTTCACATTAGAAGTCATATGTGGGGTTGATATTAGGATTGGGGTTATCGTGAAAGGATAACCATTGCCTATTGTTAGATTTAGAAATTACTTGTTAATTATTTGCCTTAAATTATTTATGAATTTGTTGCCAATCTTTTCTACATTGTTGGAATTGCATTTGACCTTAGAAAAGTTTATTCAACTATTCTGTGTGAATCATGTCTGTACTTTTCTTGTGGTCATTTTTTGGTGTTTATGGCAAATGTAAGTCTATGGCATGTGTGAAAGTAAAATGTGTTTTAACTATAGTAAGCTTGGACATGGTGAAATAGATGGTCCTATGAATGATAATAAAAGGAAAGATAAGGAGGGAGGAAGGGCGAATGTTGCCACTAGGTCGAGTTATGACTCTAGTGAGGTTTATTGAGAGTAAATATGGTTACTGCAAGTGCACCTGTTTGTAATCCTTTTTGCATGTATTTGATTGCTTAATTCTGTTGCATTGATATGTTACACTTTCAATAATTTTGATGTATGTAATTGCATGAATTAAAGTGATTTTATTAAATTTTGTAATGTGTTTGCATGCATAGTGGGTTGAGATTTGTGGCATACTTCTTTTCTTCTGCGAGTGGCGTGAGAGTATGAGGTCATGAGAACAAAGAAAAGCAGTCGTTTTCTCCTTTATCTTTGTGAGCCAGTGTGATTTGTGAGATTGTGTGAGACCACCATATAGGGTTATTTTCTTCCTCTTTGTGAGCCTTTTTTGTGAGTGTAGTGAAGTAATTAACTATTTCTTCTATTCTCTTTATGAGTGCTACCTCCTCCCTTTCCTTTGTATATTTTTTGAGCATTGGTGATTGGAGTAACCTTGTGGTGTGTGAGGCAATTTAAATTGAGCCATAACCTTTGTGTTCAAGTGAAATGTATCGATTTACCATAGTGGGTTTGTGATGCACTAATAGTGAGTATGTCTTTTGGTAAGTGGAATATAAATGCCTAAGGGTATTTTGGTGGTTTGTACTGGGGATGTGAAGTGTAACATTTGGATCACCAGTGGAGTGGTGATTAAATGTTGGAATCCTTTATCTATGAAGAGACCTTGTATAGGTGGAATATGAGAGAGGCACTTCTATCGCTTCTGTTAGGTGGAGACCCATTATCCACTTAGGTTGGGAGAAGTGGTGTGGTGATAGAGGATTATCCCGGGAACAGAGGATCTATTGTGATTTATTAGTTAGACAAGGGTTGAGTGATCTAGTGAGCATGGTGGAGGATAAGAGGAGCTATGTGTTCTCGAGGTCTAAGCATCATGAAATGAGATAGAATAAGTGTAGTAAGATCTTTTCATAGGGTCATTTATTCATTCGTTGCATGACTTAGTGTTAATTTGTTGTTCTATGTAAATGTGATTTTGAAAAAATCTGTGTTATCCTATATAATATCTTCATCGTGTGATTATTTGTTCTTAATTGTTCACTGTGATTATCTATTTCTAATTAGGTATTTTGTTTATGACCTTAGTCCTGGTGAGTATATGGAATATGTATGGTATGTGTTTCGGGTCCAAAACACGAGATAAGGTCTGTGATCCCAATTTTACTACTTTCCTTGATTATGCAAATATTAACTTTGTGTTTTGATTACTTGCAGATTGATTGGGTATCAAGGTAGAGATTTGTTGGGTTTTTGATACCCAATCAATTCGGGCAATAGTTAAAACAGTTAACGGATAATTTATCAATACCATAGATTCGGCTCGACTAGAATACGACCGACACTTTTGGAAGGCCCAAGTTGGAGTTGGATTGGTAGTTTGATTAGTGCGAGTTTTTGGATTATTTTTGGTCCATTAACTTACCCCATTGAGAGAGAGATATCTTTCGCCATTTAAATGAATAAGTTAAACCCAAACCTAATAACCTAATTATAGAGTAAATTACCCAAATGGTCATTAAACTTTACAAAAAGTTTCCACGGGATCACTGAACTTTAAAAATCACCCCATTCATCACTGAACTTTTCAAGATTTAGTGACCCCTAGGAAACCTTTAGCAAAGTTCAGAGATGAATTAGATGATTTTTAAAGTTTGTTGACCTCGTGGAAACCTTTTACAAAGTTCAGTGATGGATTTGATGATTTTTAAAGTTCAGTGACTATTTGGGTAATTCACTCATATGCTATGCTTCTTCCAGCCGGGTGTGTGTATTATGTAAGAGAGAAAATGAGAGAGAGAGGCCAGCTTCCTCGGAGTTTGAGAGCTTGGTGATTTATGGCGTCTTCTATGATTTTCTCCTTCCTTCGTGGATTGTATATACCACCACCATAGTCTCCTTTATGGAGTAAAACTTGAAGCAACCAAAGTGGAGGTTTGGTTTTGGGTCGAGCCGAAGTTGGTTGGTGTTCGTTTTGTTGTTTTCTGAGCCCGAAATCAAAATTTCTTGAGAGATTTCCGCGACAGTAGATTGTTTCATTAGGCAGTAATTTTGCCAAAGCCAATGATTAACTTTTTGTAGATGTTTTATTAAAATGGAAGAAAGCATGGATTTTCCATTGTTCATAGGAATAGCTGCCAACTCTAAAAATATTGGAAACAAGTCTTTATATGAATGCGCAGTCTTATTGTAATGTCAGGAAATAATTAATATATCACTTTTTTCAATCATGTAGAAAATAGGTTTTAATAAGGTGAAAACAATGCATTATGCCTAAAAAACGAAGACCATACTTTTAATTTAAATTAGAAAGTGTTCCATCTCTCATATACAGGAATCTCATGTTTTTCCACCATCCCCGTAATAACTTTCGCCTAAAATTATCTTCATGTTTCTCTTATTGCTCTCTTCAACCT